TTCAAGAATTCATTTATGACTTCTGTGACTTTTTTTATGGGATTTCTTTTTCTGGAGCTTTTTTTTCTTTTTTCTGCAATATTTTATCAACAATCTGAAGACTTTTCAGTTACTGGACGAGAGCATTTAAAAAAAAAAAAAAAAAAAAAACATTTCGGTTGAAGAATCATCTTCGCCGAATACCGACACAAAAAAATCGCTCCGTAAATCTTGGTTTAACTTTCGGTATTAAAAAAAAAAAAAAAAAAAAACTGACATCTTTTCTTAACTCAAAACAAATGCAGAAATATGTGGAATTTTTCTTTTATGATTTACTTAATGAATCTATAGAAACTTGAAAAATATTTTTTATATTCAAAAATGAATTTAAAGACAAGGACCAAATATTTAATATACAGTGTAACCCGGATGTAAGAGAGTTGTCGGGACCGGAGAAGAAGTCTCTTATATCCGGGTTTCTCTTATATCCGGGTTTGGTCTATTTTGTTTAAGTAAGTATGGCTCTAATTTGGGACCAGAGAAAATCTCTCTTGTATCCGGGTCTCTTATATCCGGGTTACACTGTACATAAATCAGTAAACTTGAAAAATATATTTTTCCCATACATTTTCCAGGATAAATTATTTAATTACATGCGTGCACAATTTGATTTTTTTTTGTTTTTGTATTTAACCACACGCTCATTCAAATGTGGCACAAGGCCGAGTTTAAAGTGGGGTATCTTACGTACATGTAACTAGGAATTTCCCTTTTAGGCATATTTTATGTGTCAGGAATTAATCCTAGGACACCCTGATAAGAGAGATACTACCTAAAAACCGATTATTATAATTGTAATAAAACCTGAACATATGGAAGTGAATTTATACATTTTTTTTTGTTCATGAGAATTGATAAGAAAAATAATAAACACTATTTATTAGATTTTTTTATTTAATTATTGTTTAATAATAATTTAATATTGTTTATTGGAATGGTTGGCAAAACATCGGCTAATTGTTTCAAATTTTATAAGATCCAGAGACGGATAAGCAATGTGGTTGATCCTGTTCTGGCATCTCGTCTTCAGTCGCTCTCTCACAGACGTGCCGTCGCCTCCCTCTGTCTTTTCTACAAGTACTTTCACGGTAACTGCTCCGACGAGCAACTTTCCCTAGTTCCCAGACTGCATGAATGTAAGCGTGCTACTAGGCTGGCATCACGCTTCCAACCTTTCACTGTCGAAACGGTTAAATGCAGCCGCCTCTTCTACTCCAATAGCTTCATGTCTCGCACCTCCTGTCCGTGGAATTCCCTTCCTATTACTTGTTTCCCTGATAACTATAATCTCCAACTATTCAAATGTAATGTCAATCGACATCTCCAGATGCCCTGAACTATCCCTGCCTTTCTCTTCATCCTTTCCTCCATCACACCTCTTTACTCTCGCTCCCATTCTGTAACCCCCTGCGTATTAGTGGCATCCCGTCTTGCTTGGGGTGAAATGCTTAAAAAAAAAAAGAAGGTAAATAAGGATTTCCTTATAGTTGCTTCTCATATTTTAATAATCTAGTAAAGGTTTATTTAAATTTATGAATAAAAATTGTTTTCACTTTTATTATTTTATGAAATGGTAAATGATAAATATTGCATTACATTAGTTTTAATTGTACTAGTTTTTAGAGTGTTGTAAATATAAAAGTATCCTTGTAAATAAACAATCTAATAGAGTCTAATATTTTTGTTGTAAAATTCTCATGAACAAAAAATGCATAAATTCACTTTCATCATACGCTGGCTTTGCGTTATGGTGTAATGGATAGTGGTTCAGAATGAGAGATCGGGGAGCCGAGATCGAATTCCGAGTTCGTCATACACTTACGCGCAAATCTACCGCAGAAAGTAATGGTAACCTACTGCGGGAAAAAATTGCCTTGTCATTCATATATCAAAGGATGCATGACCGCACCAAACATGCGACACGTGTGACTAACTGATCATATGTTGAATTGGGTCTCCTACTCCTAAAGTCTACTTCAACTCTATCCTTCTAACGTCTCCGCCTAAACTCTGAAATTTGTTGTACTAATTATTTTTGTTTCCTCAATAGGAGTAGATAGATTCGCCTATTGTGCTATTCACACTCCTCCCAGTCTTTTTAACAATCGTAGGAGCTTATTCATTGTTTCCTGCTTAGGATTGGGTTTCCAGTTCCTTCTAAAGTCTATTTTAATGATATACTTCTAACACCCTCGCCTAAGCGCTGAAATTATTTATTTTCCATCAATAGGAGTAGATAAGTTCACCTATCGCCCGGTTCACATTCCTCCCCTGTCTTTTGAACAGGAGTAAAGGCTCATCCCTTGTTCCCTGCTTAGGATTGCATTTCCGTTCATTTTAGAGTCGTATCATTCTCTTTCACTCTAGGCAGTTCCTTGCATCTTTATGGCATTATCGCCTTGCTTGGGTAAATTAATTTAAAAATAAAATGTCTAAAATACGGAAAGACGTATCTGTTTAATATTTCTCCATACATTAGCCTTAATATATTTATGTCTTCACACACACACTATCGGTGCATTTGTTTGCATTCGTTGTATTTTATGAGCAAAAATGCTGAATAGCAAAAGATAGTTTTTAAAATGGTTTTCTTTCAATGGCCGCTTAAACCTTTGGGAAAAGTTTTTCTCACGAGTATCTGGTTGATGCCCTCGTATTTCTCGAGAGTTTGTAAAATCTACCAAAGCGAAGAGATGTCAAAGTGCTGCTCTTACGCTGAACTAATTTTTGCAAAGTGACAATTGACGCCATTCACGCGACTCTAAACGCTATTCAAATTATTCCCTAGTTGTCATGATTTATCTCCCTTCTCTTCTTTCATCAAAACACCTTCGCTCACTGAAGAGCTTTCTTTGCTCGTAGATTGATTTAAAGAAATAGATAAAAAAAACCTGAATCAGTCAAAACTTAAAGGAAGGTGAACACAATCAAAATCTAGGGTAGGCGGAATTGTACACGAGCGTTTCGTTGACCTCGACTCTGACGTAAGACTCGGTTACCGCGTAATTGCATAACACCGGTTATCGTGTCTCACCTGTCGCTGACGTTTCATTTTCATAAAAGCAACGTTAGCTTATTTTTTCTCTTTTTTTTTTTTTTTTTAATTTTTAAGTAACTTGATAAATGTCCTCTGAAAGGATATATATTACTATGCTATACTGAGTAACAGAGTATTATTGTGCGTTTACACACACACATAACTATGTGCTATCGTTGTTAGCAAATGATTTAGTCATTTGTTTATTTTTATCTCTCACTTCAGACTTTGCTTATTATTTTGATGAAAACTTATCAACATCGCCCGGCATCACAGCTCAGCACCTGACAAGATCCCTCCAGATGTCTTGGGTGCATGCCAATGTTTGAGTCTCTATGAATGGTCTTCGTCTACTCAATGACCTTGTCAGCACAATTTTTCCTCTGTCTGCCTCGCGTCCTGGGTAAGACGATAAACTACATCCGCGTCCTGAGTCAGACGATAAACTACATTCAACAGTAAGGCCTCTGATCAGGACGTGTTCAGGAGCGTGGAACCGCCTCTTAATTGCTGTTCTTCCCAGGTCCACCCAGATCCGCGGTGGTAGCACCTGTTAGGTTCCCAACTATGGGCAAATAGTTAACCCACAAACTGGGGTTAAAACACTATGAAAGTGTAAAAATGGCTTTTGATACCGGCAATACATTTTCGTAAAAAAAAATTATTACTAGCAATAAATTTTTGAGGAAAAATATTACCAGCAACACATTTTTGGAAAAAATAAAATATATTAGCAGCAATACATTTTTGAAAAAAATTACTGCCAGCAATAAAATCTTGTCGGCATTAAATAACCCAATGGGGTTGGTATACCGTAAAATGAAACAATCTGTCTGGCTCTTTTTCTTTTGCCTTAGGTGGAACCTTGTAAGTTTGATTTGTTTTTACGGTTCATCAACCTTTTACAGGTCGTTTAGAGCGAGAAAATATTTTTAGATTGTAAGAAATTTTTGGAGATAATCATGATTTACCGAATTTACATTATTTACATTATTCGGACTATTGTCCTCATCTTTGTCGCCATATTTATTACAAAGTTTCGGCCGTTATACACTCCGGCCTTCTTCAGATGGTTGGAATGTCGAACTAAACCCTTTATTTCGCACACTGGAGTAGACTGGTAAAAAATGGTTGCTGAAGACATTATGTTTATAATACCCAGAAATTCATACACAGATGTCCACAAAGACATATGGCACAGTGGATAAAGGCGTTAGTTAGATCCAGTGACAGGACCCAAAGAGTGTGAGTTCAATACCCGGTGAAGAACCCGGAGAGGGGAATTAACAGGAGATAACTGGCATCTGACATCCATTAAACATGGCGCGTGGATCTAGAACAGTCTACCCCAGTGAGCGAAATAAAGGGTTCAGTTCGACATTTCAACCACCTGAAGAATGCCGGAGCGTACACCGGCCGAAGCGTTGTAATAAATATGGCGACAAAGATGTGGACAATAGTTCGAATAATGTAAATAGTGTACATAATACCTCATCTCAGAAATATAAACAAATCATGATTTACTTATACAAGTCCTACTAATTAATCCACGGCCGAGGGATTCATAGCTTTCCAAAAGGTATTTACGCGTGACACTCGAAGTTCCAATTCTGCACCACATTCACAACATTAACTTCAATGATCGTACGAAGAAGTGGTGTTTCAATGTGAAATGCCCGTACGCCGGTATTTTGTAGTTGTTTTTTTTAATTATTATTGATTTGTTTAATAATCATTTAAAGCAGAAACATATTTTTGGATTCTAAGGTTTATTTGGAGATAATGGTTTTCTGATATAAGACTTACTATTTTTACAAGGGTATTTGAAAGTAAGTGAATGTAGTGAAGTCGACTGGAATTCGAACACGGCTCTCTGATTTCTCATTCCGAACCTTTATCCATTACACCACCCGTACATTCAAACTTACAGTACCTGGTATTCCAAAGTGGTCACCCACCTAGGTATTGACCAGGCTCAATATTGCTTAACTTCAGTGATCAGACAAGAATGAGTGTTTCAACGCGATGTGGCCGTAGGCCGGATTCTTGTAGGATGGCAATGGCAATATTGTTGACTCTTATGTAAACCTACCATTCTAACTTTCTCTTCTTGATGGTTATTATGAGGTCTTCCAATGGTCTAGATTCTTGTTTGATGGTGTCCCGCACCTGCGTCATTTGTGATGTTGCCTATGTAGGGATGGTTTTCCGTCGCACCTGATTTCTAAGTCTTGGATTTTTTCGTTGTAATTCTGCTGTTAATGTCCAAGGTTCACAGGTGTACCGAAAGATTAAGACAAAGGCGGGAATTCTTATTTTTCCAGATGGTCTTGAGATTTGCGACAGCTGCTCTTGATATTCTTTCTGTTCTGAAGCCCTATTCACTGATGATCTAGCCAAGATATTTGAATTATCTCACTGCTTTTAGTTTTTGGCTGTCTTTTATCTTTGTTGAAAGCCCCTTCTTAGTGCTCTTACAAAAAACATATGGTCTGGAGCCCCTTCTGTTTGCCTCAGGGTTCTTGATAAACTCCAGAGGCGGATATGCAATATAATTGGCCCTCTTCTGGCATCTCGTCTACAGTCGCTCTCTCAGACGCGCCGTCGCCTCTCTCTGTCTTTTTTTTACAAATACTTTCATGGTAATTGCTTCGATGAGCTGCTTTCACTGGTTCCCAGACTTCATGAATTCAAGCGCCCTACGAGGCTGGCAGCCCGCTCTCACCATTTCACTGTCGAAAGTACTAAATGTAGCCGTCTCTTTTACTCCAATAGCTTCATGTCTCGCACCTCTCGCCTGTGGAACTCCCTTCCCTATTCCAGTTTCCCTGAGAGCTATATTCTCCAACTATTCAAATGTAATGTCAATCGAAATCTCCAGTTGCGTCCACTAACCTTCTCCTTATCCTTTCCTCTATCACTCCTATCTGATCTTACTCCAAATCTTCTGTAACCCCTTGCGCCCTTGCTCGGGGTGAAACGCTTAAAAAAAAAAAAAAGTATTCAATTTTTTGTTTCGTTGTTTGATTTTTGTTTAGCTGCATATGAACCTTATTGGAATATTTAATGACGAAATATTTTGAACGTAATTTTATAAATTCAGAATAATCGTTTGTTTTATAGATATTAGGTTGGTGTAAAAATAATGTCGTTTTTTGACGTTCCACTTCAAAAGATCATAACTCCTTTCATAATAAACTTTATTAATCGAAATAAGAACCATTAGAATCGACACATTTTTGCTAACGAGAAACAAGTTTATTTATCCCATTAGCATAGAAATCCGGAGTTCTGGAAGCGATGAAGTCATTGAAGGCCGATTCGGCATCATCTCGGCTTTTGACGCATTTTTCGCGCAGAAAGTTGTCGAGATGCTTGAAAAAGTGATAATCGGTGGGCGAGAGGTCCGGTGAATATGGCGGATGAGGCAGTCTCGTAGCCGAATTCGTTCAGCTTCTGCAGGGTCAGTTGAGCAACATGCGGGCGAGCGTTGTCATGGAGGAGAATTGGTCCCTTCGTACTGACCAATCCCGGGCACATACGTTGGAGCTTCTGGTGCATTTCGTCAATTTGTCGGCAGTACTTCTCCGCCGCAATCGTTTCGCCCGGATTCAAGAAGCTGTGATGGATGAGACCGGCCGCAGACCACCAACAGTCACCATAACCTTTTTTGGTGCAATTTCGGCTTCGGGAAGTGTTGTGGAACTTCTCCGGCATCCAACCACTGTGCCGAACGTCGCCGGTTGTCGTAGAGGATCCACTTCTCATCACACGTCACAATCCGCTCGATAAATGGGTCGTTTTTGTTGCGCAGAAGGAGCATAGAAGACACCTCAAAACGACGATTTTTTTGATTATCATTCAATTCATGCGGCACCCATTTATCCAACTTTTTTGACTTCTCTATTTGCTTTAAATGGCGAACGACTGTTGAGTGGTCGACCTCGAGTTCAACAGCAATTTCTCGTGTCGTTTTGCGAGGATCGGCTTCAATTAAGGCTTTCAAATGTTCGTTATCAACCGCAGTCGGCCAGCCGCGACCGTCTTCATCTTCGACTTTAGCAGGTGCTGCCACGGTGAACCTGGGAAGAACAGCAATGAAGAGGTGGTTCCATGCTCCTCAAAACCTTCTGATCAGAGGCTTTGCTGCCGTATGTAGTTTATTGCCATACCTAGGACATAGGAGTTTCCATAGCAACCGCAACTAAAATGGATATCACATGTGACCCAAAGAGAAAATAATAACACAATCAAGATGTTAACATTCCACACTACTTCAGACAAAAGGATAGAAAGGAAACCTCAATCAATACTGGAATGAGCAATAACAGTGGTCTTGACAAAACCTATTTTCCTGGCAAAATCTTTTAAGAGAAAGTTTTCATACATTTCAACTGTTGCATTGGCTGCTCGGTCATTGACTACCGAATGTTTCTTTATAAGGAAACGGTTATTATTACCATTATCATTACAATATCGGAAACAGAGATAAGGAGAGACAGTGGGCCAATTAGCTGGACAGTTTGTGTGAATGGATAGAGGAACGGGGGCTGGAGGAAGGGTAAAAAGACAAACGTTACTAAGAGCACAAGGAATAGGAAGTTGTGGAGAGCCATGATCGCCCACGTATGAAGGGACAGTGCACAGAGAAGAATTAAAATATCACGTGCTTTGAATCATTTGTACCGGTTTGGGTATGTTAGTCACTTTAATGTATGGCTTCCACATAACCAAAATGTTCCATTTTGGAAACAGATTGTGACAGGCGATGAAAACTGGATTCTTTACAAGATCGAACACAAGAGATCGTGGCGCAAACGAAATAAGTTACCACAAATTGAATCAAAAGCTGATTCTCTTACAAGTATAACGATGTTATCTATTTTCTGTTATGAATTACTTCCGGAGAATCAAATGATTGATTCGCACTAATACTGTTCCGAATTAGATGAAGTGAAAACAGCAATAGGGGGAAAAGCATAATATTCAATCAACGAGAAAGTTTCTACTCTTTCACTACATTTACCATTCGATGAATACGCATTTGATGAACATTTATTCCAATCTTTAAAGAAAAAAAAATCATTCCCATGAAAGATTGCAATGCCTATCGCAGTTTGTTGCAGACAAAGATAAAACGTTCCGGAAGATAGAATGGCTAAGTAGGCAAAAACTATCAGATGATGATGGAAAAAAGCTAAAGTTAAAATTAGTTTTAATTGTCTTACATTTTTATATTCTTTTTTGGACACCAAATAAATTCTTTTATTCTTTACTGGTATAGGCAAATGCTCTAGGAATTTATGTGTGTGCGTATATATCGGTAAAATGTATAAATTCATCTTAAAACTCCAATATGAAATAAGTAGAAAAGTACCCAGAATCTGTTAAGAACAATCTTCCTCCTTCTCCTCCTTTCTTTCATCTGCAATATATCAATCATTTTTACGATACAATGATTTATGCTAAATAAGATTCCTTGGTTTGTTTTTAACCCACGACTGCTTTAGTCATAGCGGGGTGGGGAATCTGTCGAAAGAAGTAGACTTTGATTCTTCTTCCGCATGATCTTTTCAGTGGGCTTCCAGATAACCTGGCAGCGCCCATCTCCTCCCCAGGTTCTTGATCAACGACCGAAGACCACGGAATATGGTGTAAGTCGCCTTCGGTCCGTACACTAGGCCTTCAGGTTTTGAATGTAAAGTTGTCCTTTTCCTACACCGGTTTCTACCTAAGGCTATGCGACCCAGTTTGCCCTGCTATTTCACCCATAACTAAGGTGGAGGAAGCAAATGACCCTCCTCAGGTTTTGACTCTAGAATTGTCCTTTGCCTACACTGGTTGCCACCCAAGGCTATAGGACCTAGTCTGCTTGCTATTTTACCCAAGTGAGAAAAGATGGATTTATACTTTTTACCAAGTGACGTAAGTGAATTTAATAAACTCGACTGGGATTCGAACTCGACTCTCTGATTCCCCAAACCTAGTCGCTATTCATTACTCCGCCTCCTCGGTTAGGTTAGATTGGTTAATTTTACTTTCCGTTACTAGTGTTGGGCACTGTCGCAGCGTTAGTTTCCTTGACTTTTCAAACACACCATTTAAAAGTTTATAGATTTATCATTTAGTTCATAAAAGTTTTTTTTATATATTGTATTTGTTTTCCTTTTTTCCTGTTTTTTTTTCATAGGATAAATAAAAATGGAAAAAAGGTCTTATTTCAAAGCACCGAATTAAGGGGTCAGTATTAAAAAAATGAATTATTAAGTTTCAAAAAAGAAAGACGTTTTGTGGAGAGTTCAAATAACCTTCGGTACTTACGGAGAGTTAACGACATCTCAACCATTGTTGGATGATTTAATTCCGAATACAAGTCTGATGGACCAAAAACTGTAATGAACCAGTATAAAGGTAGACACTGGTCTGATATGCTCGAGACTCAAAAAGGTAGACACTAGTCCGACATGCTCGAGACTCAAAAAAGGTAGACACTGGTCTGACATGCTCGAGACTCAAAAAGGTAGACACTGGTCCGACATGCTCGAGACTCAAAAAAGGTAGACACTGGTCTGACATGCACGAGACTCAAAAAGTTAGACACAGATTCATTTTGCACGAGAGTCAATGTCAAATATAGAATTTGGTTGAGTTTATATCTGAGTCCGTTAGGTTTTACTCGAGTGGTGGTCCGTTAGGCTCTAGTCGTGTGGTGATCCGGTTTGTGACGGCTGTGATCACTCTGTAAGGAACGTAGTCGGTGTATTCCGAGTCTTGCTGACAGGGTCAGTTTCCTTGTTATTTAATCCAAATTTTTCAATTTTCTTATCCAGTTTTTCTTCGTGCCTCATGAACATTGCGCATTTTTTGTTTCCCAATTCCACTTCACGGACTTTTCTATGATTTCCTCACATTGTGCAAATTATGACACCAGGAACTTTCACTTTAATGTAATGTTTCACGTAGGCTTTAAAAATACCTAGGTCATTTCGGTCAGATCGCAGACAGTGTCTTAACCCTTTTTTTTTTTTTTTTTCGTA